GTTTGCATCTGTTTCACAAGATATGAGCTGGTGTAACTGAGGCAGGAGGATCCACTTTCCAGATCCTCTTTCTTTTTCTCTTTTAAGTGATTTATTTTTATTTGTAAAGTGTTTTGATTGCCCATATACTTACTGGTATATCTGCGGTGCTCCCAAAGGCTGGAAGAGGAAGACAGAGCTGCCATGTGAGTGCTGAGAGTTAAACCTCTTCCCCTGGAAGAGCAACAAATGCTCCCCTGAACTGCCCCTCCAGCCTTGAAGATCTACCTTCTTCATGCACAGATGCCATGCCCACCTGCTCCTTGACTCGTTTCCTCCATATGTCAATTCATGGTGTTTGGGCTTCTCACAGTCTGCCAGACAGAGAAGTTATACTCCTCACATAGAAGCACCTGCCCAGAAGTCCCCTCAGAACTGGCACCAAAGAACTCACAAGATTCAAGAAAATGGAGAAACACACTTCCCCTACTGCCCCTACTGATGTGGGAGCAACAAGTCATGTGAAAGGGGGCACAGAGGATAGGAGAGGCTGTTGCATCCACCTTTGGAAAACACACCATGTCACCAGGGAGGAGTCCATGCAATCATTTAGACAGGAGATGGTGGTTCCCTAGACTTACATCTTTGCCCTGGAGAAGAGAAAGGGATGAATTCAGAAAAGTACATGAGCAGAAAGGATGGGAGCTATAATGCTCTAAGAATGCATCTGAGGACTTCTTACTGGAATTGTACTTTGTAAGATTGCATAGGTGAGTGAGCCACCAGCACTGAGATTGTCACAAATGTATATGATCTTATTCAAGGACACACACCATTGCGGTGCTTCAAAATGTGCCTTGTCTTTGAGCATCTGTTTTTAGGACAAGCAGTTAATGAGGCACAGAATTCAGAGGTATTCATCGAGGTGCAAGAATGGACCTGGGAGCTGGAGAGATGGCTCAGCAGTCACGAGTACTGGCTGTTCCTTCAGGACCCAAGTTCAGTTCCTGGCACCCACATAGCTCCTAACAACTGTCTGTAACTCCAATTCCAGGGGATCTGATGCCCTCTTCTGGCCTCAGTGGGCATTGCATGCACATGATGCATTATATACATGTAAGCAAAACACTCATACACATAAATTATGAATAAAATATTATTTTAAAAGAAAGTATGGACCTGGTTATAAGGTTCAAGGTCTTCCATGACTCTGTAACTAAGGGAGCTGGGGATGGAAAAGAAGGTTCTAGTAACATTTTATTTATTTTATTTTTATTTTTGGTCTTTTTGTTGATTGTTTTTTGACAGGGTCTCTCCCTAGTCACAAGCCCACCTGGAAGTCATGATGTGAGCCTGGGTGGCCTCAGTCTCTCAGAGATCCACCTGCCTCTGCCTCCCGAGGGCTGGGAATAAAGACGCACGCCACCACACCTGGCAGAACATTTTATTTTTAAAGGCTTCATGGAAGTGATGCCTTTGACCATAGAAAGATCTGAGCAATTCTCACTTCATGTATTCATGTCCTTTAAGGAAACAGTTTGGTAGATATAAAAGGAATACACTGAAGAAGGTATTTGATAAATGTCTAGGGTGCTCCTTTTCGACAGAAATGATAAAAGATGTTTTCTTACTTCAATAAGCAAGAGAATGATCTAGAAACCTGCCCAGAGTCACCTAGCAAAGGGCAGGGCTGATGTCACAAAAAGCAAGTCTCCTGAACCTGGTGTGGGTTCTTTCTGCTGTGTTACCTGTTGCTCTGCCCAGAACACAGCTTTGCTCTGTACTGTGGCCACCTTGGACCCTTGCTATTATTCAATAGACTTTCAAATTATGCCAGAAACCTAGGAGAAGATATTGTGAACAGATCAAATATGCTCCCACTACTGGAAAAATAACCCTAAAATATGCTTTGCTAATTTTGACTCACTTGCATCTCTTTGTGGAGTGCATGGTACATAACATTTATGTGAGGCATCACAAGGCCACTGGCTGGCTGCTGAATGTCTCAGAATATTTCTTAAAATTCACAGAATTCAGGCCGGGTGTGGTGGTGCACACCTTTAATCCCAGCACTTGGGAAACAGAGGTAGGAGGATCTCTGGGAGTTCAAGGCCAGCCTGGTCTACATAGTAAGCTCCAGGACAGCTGGGACTACAGGGAGACCCTGTCTCAAAAAGACCAAAAAATAAAAATAAAAAATTCACAGAATGTCTTAAGATTCTGAGATCATTCTATAATACCCAGTTCTTAAATTTTTACACAAACCCTCCCACCCCTCCCAAACAAAAGAAAAAGGGGGGGAAATGAAAGGAAAGCCAAACCAGTCCAGAATCACAGGATTGGGTTGGAAAATGAGCAATAAAAGGTCTTTACTGGGACAGGAGAGATGGCTCAGCAGTTAAAAGCGCTTACTGCTCTGGCAGAGGACCCAGGTTTAATTCCCAGCACCTACAGGGTAGCTAACAACCTTCCATAACTCCAGTTCCAGGGGAATTCAATGCCCTTTTCTGACTTCCTCGAGCACTGCCTGTCATGGGTGCACTTACACACAGGCAATACACTCATATACATAAAAATGAAAGTGAGGGCTGGTGAGATGGCTCAGAGGTTAAGAACACTGGTCGTTCTTGCAGAAAACCCAGGCTCGAACCCCAGCATGGCAGCTAACAACGGTCCACACCTCCAGTCCCAGGGGATCCGACAGCCTCTTCTGACCTTCTCGGGCATTGCATGACGCGGGTACACTTACCTACATGCAGGCAATACATGCATACACATAAAATAAAAAAAATAATTTTTTTAAATGAAAATGATAAATATTTTAAAAAATAAAAGGTCTTTACTATATGTGGTGGTGTTGTTACATATACATTGCAATGCATGTTTATACACATAACTTCCATTGTATGTATGTATATATATATGCATAATCTTTGTGTTCACAATAATTGAGCAGCGATCCACTTGAGCCGCAGATAAATCTTACATGTTCTAATTTCATTCTCAACTACTTTTAAGTTTTTCAGTACTTTAGTCAAATAGATGGACATTACTTTCTTCTGTTGATATTTGTGCTGAGAGCTCTTATCATAGAATTGGCCCTTGTCCCCATCTTGTCACTTTCAATGTATTTTTTAGGATGAGATTAATGACCTAAAGATCCAGTGTTTTCCCCTGCTACATTCTGTTTCTCCTTTGAGCTAATTTGGACAGATACTATCTCCCTACTCATTTAAAGGATCTGTAAAATAGCGTTCCCTGGTCTCTGCACAAGAAGCATTTGTTGGCTCTCGTGATGGAAGGCAGCATCTGATGTTTCATGCTGGGAAACTTGTAAATCTTGCCCATGGATTCTGATGTCTGTTCAACAAGATTGCCCCACCGAAACTCCACACCTCTGTTATATTTCACATATATTACACTGATAAGTTTAACTGCATCCATGACTAGGCCAGGTGGTGTTTAAACCCCAAATACCTTAAAATTTCAATGCCTCAGGCAAGAAAAATTGACAGTTTGGAAGGTACATGTTGAAATATTTCAGGCAAGATGCAGTCAAAATCAGAAGAGGGAAAGCCTTTGAGCACAGATTTTCCTAGCACTCATCACATAAGGCCTAAAACAGATGTTTAGGAAGGGTTTTCCTGCAGGTCTTCACTAAAACATCAATATTAATTTGTCTGTTTGAGAAAAAAATCCTTATAGAATCCCAGGAGCTTCTCCTCTCCCCACTTCTTAAAGCACTTTCTCTTATGTCTAAAAATTCAACAAGTACTCTCTTCACCAAGTGCAGACTGAAGTATCTCACTGTGGGTGTGAACAGGAGCCAGGACTGATGGTGAAAGGAAAATTTCTCTCTATAAAAGGTTTATTGTCAGTGCTTTCTAAAGATGTAGATTTTTCTTACATAGGCTACAGGCTTTTTTCACAAACTTCATGCAGCTGTCTCCACCTCTCCTAGACCCACATTCAGGCTCTTTCTTTTAGGAATGCTCTGTGTCTAGCCTTTGACCTCTGGATAGCCGCACTCTATCTAACTGCTCCCTCTGCCATCAATATAATGTATATTATAAAAAGGAAGGGGGATGGGGGTGCCTCAGTCCTTCAGCCATTGGAGAAGTACTTGAAATTCCTCACATTCCTTTGCATTTAGCAGCGTGTTTACCTAATCACCAGCTTATGGCTTATTAGGATTAACCCAAGTCATTGCTTCAAGCTCACCTATTAAAAACAAACCAGGCAGCCAGCCTATAGCTCTCAAAAAAATAATAATTTTTTTTTTTTTTCCTCTGATACTAGCCAAGGGTAAAATGTTGAAATAGCTGTCCTAATTTTTAGGAACAAAACTGAAAAAAATTACAAAGTTACAAACAAGTGACCTCAGCCGTACAAAGCTGTGTGCAATGTTCATTAAAGGTTTTCCCCATCGCTACTTAAGTGACATGCTAATCACACTCTGACTAAAATAAGACATGGCTACCATACTTGTCTGAGAGAGGGAGACAATTAAACTTATAAAAATAAACCATTGTTTTAGGGGCTGGAGAGATGGATGGCTCAGCAGTTAAGAACACTGATTGTTCCTGCAGAAGACCTGGGTTCAAATCCCAGCACCCACATGGCAGCTAACAATTGTCCGTAACTCCAGTTACAGACAGCATTGCACAACACAGGTACACTTACCTACATGCAGGCAATACATGTATACACATAAAATAAAAAATAATAAAATAAAATAAATCATTGTTTTAAATTAATAAATTAAGTTTCAGCTTCGTACAATGCCTGTGTTCAATGCTTGCTTCCCAAACAGATAACTTTATATGCAACAATTTCTTTCTCTTAGAGACTATTAAAGGGAACTAGTGTCTTATTTTCTTTCCTAGGTTATTGTTTTCCAGTAGAACACCTAGAGTAGTTCTCAACACACAGGCTCAAAAAATTCTTTTGGAATAATTGATGTGCACGATTGTTCCTGGTAACTGGGATTGTTTTAAAAATATTGAATAACATACACTCAATATTAGGTAAATATTTCTTTATTAAATGATTAATTCCATAAATAAATTCTTTTCAGATATAAAATTAAAATCATTTACAAATTATTCCAGTATTACATTTCCCCTCCCTCCCCAAAAGCTACATTTTGATAAATAAAAACATTCAGTCTGAAAACACCTGGTTTCTGTTTGCAGTTTAGAGTGCAGGTAGCTGGCCTTGGGACACTCACAGAGTGTCCTCCCTCAGAAGGAATGGGAGGCCCTTTTATTTACTTCTGTCAGTGGACATACAAGGCTTTCACTGCCCAACTAATCTTTTTATCTCTATTACAATTGTAGAACCAAGAGGAAAAAAAACCTAGAGAAAAAATATGCTTAGCAAATAATTTACAAACAGAAAACAGAACGTCATCCACACCACACGCTCCAAAATGAAGCATAGCACGTGCTCCAGTACTATGAAGCAAAAATATTCTCCAACTGCGGCTGCGTTACTGTCCATCTGCACCAGCCCCCTTGGCAGTTTTAAAATACCTTAATGCTACTCAAGATCCAGCAAGGCATCCCTTCTACAAAGAGCCCTTCATCCTACCGCCCCCACCCATGTCTCTGAGATGGTCACACTCTTCTCTGTCCAGCCTCGAAGGTAACTCAGGGGGCATCTAGTCTCTAAATTTGTGGATGTCATTGAAGAGGCTATAGAGGCGAAATGAGGCCTCGTTGGCGTGCGGGCAGTTGTAGCTGCATTTGCAAGACTGGATCATCATGACGTTCTTGGAAAACATCTCCCCATCCTCGCATTGGAAACGCATCTTCACAGTCCTGGTCTGCAGGGGTGTGCAGCACCGGCCGTCCACACAGGAGCCGCAGTACTTGGGCCGGTATTTCTTCACACTGGAGCAGCCAGCGTAAGTAAACGTGACTGGTTCCGGAGATTTCTTGGTCTTGCTGCATTTCTTGCCCTTCTGTAAGAAAGAGAAAAGGAAAGTCAGGAGTGGTGTTTCTTGTTTCTTTTTTGGAGGGGGTGCATGTAATCCCTGGTCTTGGACTGGGCTTCATAAAGACAATTTCTTTCTACTGTAGCATGTATATTCTCCTTCTAGAACAGACTCACATCCCACCCACCTGCAGAGGTCACGGTCAAGTCCCTGAAGGAACTTACTTTCAGGCTGCTGTCCACAAGCTGTCCACAAGGCCGCACTTCACAGATCCGGGTTTCCTTCAGTAGGCGGCATTCAGGGTTGTCATTGGTAACTCGTGTGGAGATACCAGTTCCGCAGGTCTTGGAGCACTGGGACCATGAGGTTGTTTGAACGATACATTTCTGGCCATGCAGAGGGTTGTAAAGGATTCGCGGTTCCATGCCAAAGACTAGAAAGATAAAGGAAATGGAAGATTTGTGAGGCATGCTGACACAGATTCTACAAACCTGCAGAGCAGGAATGGATTTCAGTACGTCTTAAAGGCAGGGGTCTCCACTTACCAGGGAGCTGCTTCAGCGACTCTCCTTTTCCAATCGCAATTAATTCATTGTTTCTCGTTAACTCCACCTCCGAGGCATCAAATCCAAGTCCTTTGCCGAGCAGGTCGTCCTGGTCATCTAGGGAGTCCTTGATATTATCTTCATCACAGACCCACTCCTCACAGCACTGCCCACTGACTTTCACCAGCCGGGGGTTGGGACAGCCCAGGTTGGGGAGAGACAGTTCTTGAGGACACAGAGGAATGCAGCCCACGGCGCCATCAATACATGTGCACTGATGTTTACAGTTAGGTTGGAAACTCTCCCCGTTCTGGTATATTCTGGAGTTATATTCACAGGGTCTGCCTTCTGACTGAGCTGTAAAGATGATCAAAAGGGAGCGGATAAGGTTAAGATTTCCCCAGCACCGCCTGAAACACATCCGTATTTTCTGCTGTTCAGTTCAACGTATGGTAAGGTTCCCTACAATTCCCCAGAGACTCCAGAGCAGAACAATAAGTTAGTCAGGAATCACTTTTCCGTATGCGCTTTTCCCTGGGCCCAGACACACTGAATTGCATTCCAGACGGCTGAAATCATGTGCCTTTCTGCCAAACTACAACAACAAAGCGTCACCATACATGGTCTCAAAATTACTAAACTTCTGGACTATGGGGGCTATTATTTTTTTCAAAGGGGCCAAACCACAAGCATCTTACCTCGGCAGATCCCTTTCAGAGCCGTGGAACTGGCGCCGAAATTGCATTCCAGCCCCTTGGTGTGGTCGCAGGGCTGCGTTTTGCTGCAGTCCTCGTTGAGCTGCTTGGCGCAGACCTTGCAGCAGCCGCAGCCGTCCCGGACCAACCCGACACCCGGGGCGCACTTGGGCGCCTCCAGAGGGCAGTGGCAGGCGGCGGGGCAGGTGGAGAGTGCCTGGAAGAGGGGGAAGAAACACATGAGACCGGTTTGCGGCGCGCGGGAGAGGCGCCCAAACTACCCCGGGCATGGATCCGGCTCTGGGACTCCATCCACCCGGAGACTAGATCGCGTCCCGCCAGTCCGGCCACCTCGGTGGCTGCGCCCCAAGAAGAGGCCCCGGACACGTCTTCAGGGGGGTTTAAAGCAACAGCTACCTCCAAACGTTTTAGTCTAACTTTTCCTGCCGTTGGCGATCAGAGCCAAGGGAAAGGGATTGGAGAGAGTGGACCGGGAAGCGATGCTAAAAGAACTCCAACTCACCATCTTGGTCAAGTGGAGAAGGGTGACGGCGACAGCGAGCGTCCAGGCGGTGCGGGACTTCATCGTGGCGCGCAGGAGGAGCCGGGGTCGGGTCGGTGCGCAGCGGGATCTGCTGGTGCGGATGCGCCGGTGGGCAGCGAGGCGGGGGACCGGGGCTTCGGGCGTTCTGGTCTGGTTCTGGCGGAGAGGCGCGGAGGATGCAGGCGCTGCTCCGGGGCGCTCTCGCTCGCGGTCTGCCCAGGCGCCGGGAGTTCGCCTTTTATACCCGCCAGCCCCGGCGCCGCGTGTTGCAGTGACGTCGGCTCTGTCTGCGCGTTCCAGAATTCTCAAACATCTCAGGAATGTTGGTTGGCGCGGGCTGCTGCCAAGCGCCTCCCCTGGCTCCATTGCACCTTTTTTTTTT